AAACGTTAAAACACCTAGCAAATTTTGTTTTAACTATTATTAGTTATAAATAATTTACAATATATACAATTTTAACATTTTTATATATAAAACTTTATATTACTACTTATAATATCAGGTACAGCTTTTATAATATAAGTATTATATTATTAATTATATAATTTGAAAAAAATGTAAAACAATAATGTATTTATAAATGAAACACACTGACTTAGTGTTTTTCGTTTTCGTAACTTAGTGAATAAGCCATAACTGTAAGCAAACCAAACCATATAAACTAATTTGAAAAAGTTTTAACATTTGTCTATCACATATAAAAACAAAAAATATGCCTTCAGTTTAATAAAACATTTTACAAGTCTGTAAAAAAGTCAAGGTTGACATACTCTCAAACGTCTTAATGGTTATGAAATTTAAACCATTTAAGAAGTTTAATAATATGCCATGTTTTTTTTTTTTTCTTTTTTTTGTAACTTTGTAATTTTTGTAATTTTTTTTGTACTTTTGTAATTTTTTTTGTACTTGTTAAATGAATGTCTAAATATTGGTATTAAAATATTTATACTTTTACTATAAAATTAAAACTGATATGTAAATAATTAAGTTTTACCAAAGTATTAAAAATGAACCAAATTAGGTTCCAATGTAAGCGAGTATTCAATGCAAATCAAGCTGAGTTACTGCGTGTGTTTTTTAAAAGATTTTTTCATACTTTTAAGCATAACTTTTGACGCAATTGTTTCACCATATAAGATCCATATTTTACCCAGCTCAAATCCTAGCTATAACTCAGTTCCAGTAATCAAGTTGCACCACAGCTGGGACCCAGTTGTTGTAGTTAACTGGGCTATTAATAATTTTTATTATAATTAATATAATTAATATAATTTACAATTAAATTGCAATATAAATTATTTAAATATTTTTTCAAGTAAAACTTTATACTACAAATTAAAATTTAAATTATAATATTTATAATACAACTCAAATTACAAATATTACTTTACAAAACATAAATGGATTATTTATTTACAAAACACATGTAAACATAGCAGAGTTTTACTTTGCATTTTACTATATCATAGTAAAATGCACATAGTAAAACTTTGCTGTGTTTTGTAAAAAAAGTTTGTCAAAGTTACTTTACAAAACATAATAAGTTTAAAAGTTTTTTAAAAGGTCTTTGATACTTTTTTGTAAAAAAAAAATTAAATTAAATACACTAAGCCATTTCTGAAAGCACACTAAACCATATATCCTTATTTTTAAATTGATGACTAAATATTGAATTTAACATATATTTACACTTTTAATATAGAAATTAAAACTTATATGTAAATTTTTTTTACAAAAATACAATAAAAAAACCAAATGAAGTTCCTTCGTATATTGATGCCAAATGCAAATGTTTAGTCAATCTCAATCAAGCCGCGTTACTGCAAAAGACTTTTGTAATTTTATTTTAACAAAACTTTTGAATAAAAACTGTGCCAAAAAAAATCCTTCTGATTAAAAAATACACGCTACCATTAAACCACGAGTCCCATCTTTAAATCAGCTATTAACCATTTACGGAAGCCGCATGCCAATCCCGAGATTTTATTTGCAGCATTATTTGCATAACATATAGGACCCATCTGGCACCCAGAACAAATTTCAGCCTGAACCCAATTCCAGTAATCCTAGCTCAATCTCAGTCAATCCCGGCTGGGACCCATTTGGGTTGGTTAACTGGGATACTTTCTTTAAATTTTTGCTCAAAATTTGTTAGATGTCGAATCTAACACACAAAACCACTTGTCATTTGTTTACATGAAACAATTTTCATTAGCATGCAGATGTTTATAGATGTGAGACTTTTTGTCCCTCTCCTAATGTTCAAATATCTGGGTCTTGAGATGGCAAGTAGTTTTGCCTATATAATAAGAGTTACATCTTGCACATACGAGTTTATATACCACGAACAACTTAAACTCTTGAGTAATAGGATCTTTAAAGGAAAAGAATTTAAAACTTTTTAGTGAGGTAATTACTAAACTAATATTTGCTGACATGCAATATCTTTTAGCATTTGAATTCAGTCATTTTTTAATTGAATTAGATGTTTTTCTCAAAATGGCAGTTAAAATAAGACAAAAATTCTTTGATTTTTGGTTGTGGTGAAAGATTTGAATTAATTTTGTTGAATTAGGAGTTATATATTTTTAAAATTAGCCAAGATTTCTTTGAAATATTTTAAAGAGATCGTTTATGTCAGAGTGAAACCCAAGTTTAGTACTATTATTTTTAAACGTTCTATCGATTAAGCTTTTGATTAGACTAACTCTGTACAAAAATGGAGTGAAACTATAAAAATTAGTGTGAAGATCATAATATTTTTTTTATGAATAACGATAATAGTAACTGAAGAATCAGTTTTGTGAAAAGTTACGTCTTAAAAAGATGTCTACCATTTATTCATCTAAGAAAAAGATGTGCTTCATTTTTTGACTGAAATGCAACACAAATGTCATCAACGTTGTTTTATAGAAAACTGGTTTTGCATTATTGAAATTTTTAATTTATTTATTTTAAAAGTGACCCATGAACAAATTGGCAAGAGAAGTTTCCAATATGGAACCCATTGCTACACCATTGCTTTGATCATATGTTTGTCCTTTTAAAAAAAATGTGTTTGCTACGTGTTAAATTGGAATAGTTTTTTTAGAACATTTTAGTAATTTTAATGTTTATATCAATTTAATTTTTATGGAAAAAAATTAAATTGACAACAATTTTAATGGTTTCCTGAAACTGTACATTGGTGTATAGCTGGTAACATCATATTAAACTAAAAACTATTTGTGGAGATAAACTTGAACAATTTCTTTAATGTAGGTAAATGAGTCTTTATGTCAAATAAGAATGCCTTGCACAAAATTATGATGGTTGGAACCTAGAAGCAAAAAAGCCATAAAATTATGGCCGCAAATTCATATAGTTTGTAACCTCTTTAAACTAAAGGGAGTTCAAACTTTATATTGTAATAATTTTAGAACTCTATAAGCATGTTATATGAAATTTAAAATTTATGAATGAACATAAATTTATTGGAGAATAGTACATACAATAAATTATCAAGCGGTTGCTCTCACGTTTAGAGCACTTGTGACCAAATTTTAGGTCTTTCTTGTTCCTAGGCTTCAACCAGCAAAATATTTATCAAAGCATTCCTTTTTGATTTAAGTATAAACATTTGTGTAGAGTTTATTTCATATCTGGAAGTTAGGTAATCTATCATCAAAAAATGCTATATATATATATATATATATATATATATATATATATATATATATTATATATATATATATATATATATATATATATATATATATATATATATACATATATATATATATATGTATATGTATATATACATAAATATATATATATATATATATATATATATATATATATATATATATATATATATATATATATATATATATATATATATATATGTATATATATATATATATATATATATATATATATATATATATATATATATATACATATATATACACATATATATAGATGTATATACATATATATATATATACAAGATATTATTAATAATTTAATTTATATAAAATATCATAAAATACATTTATTTTCTAAATAAAAAACTCAATAATTAAAACATTTATTGTTTTTATGATATTAAACTGCACACTTTGATAACTTTAAAAATAAACAGAAATGCTGCGTTACATGTTGTTATTCTCTTCAAAATGTTAGTGGTCGAAAGAATTTATGTTCTAAAAAATCATTTTTATTATATATTCTGGAGAGTTAAACAAAATTCATTCTATAGGACTTTGTTATTCATATGTTTTCAACTTCAAAGGGTTCAACTTTTTTTCAGGTCATTAAAAATTAATTGTAAATTATTTTTAACAAACTACAGATATTACTAGTTAATATAATTACTACTTTAGATGTTACTAGTTAAGTTTTAAATAACCTATAAATTTCGATTAATTAAATTTAGCCGTTTAATCTTTTATTTGAATGCAATAACTGCTTTTTACATTGACTAAGATTCTGGAGCAAACACAATTATAAGATATTAGATATTATTTTCTTAAAAAACTATTTCGCCTGAAGAATGCATTTTTTTTTTTTATAAATAATATTCATTTCTTGTGAAAATATTATAAATTGTGGTACATAAATCTTAATGCAACTTTTAATTTTAAACTTTTTTTTTATGTATTATTTTAGGCAGTTAATTCAATTAAAAATTTGTCAAATAATTGATAATAAATATTTTTTATTTTAGGTGCCAATATATTGTTAGATTTCGAAGGAAACTGTAAACTTGCTGATTATGGTATCTCAAAGCAAATACAGGTAGGATTGCTGAATTTTTTTGTTTTGTGATTGCAAATTGGAAAAATCCTCTTTTAAGAAAATGTTCTAAATTATAATATATATTATGTATATATATATATATATATATATATATATATATATATATATATATATATATATATATATATATATATATATATATATATATATATATATATATATATATATATATATATATATATATATATATTTATATATATATATATATATATATATATATATATATATATATATATATATATATATATATATATATATATATATATATATATATATATATACATAGGCCCAAAGTAAGTTTTAACATTGGCAAGTTTATTCCGTTAAGCCAACATTTAGCCAATGTTTTTTATTCGACGTATTTTTTTCAATTCTGCAAACCTCTTTTTTGCAAATATCGTAATATATTGGGCCAACATTTAGCCAATGTAGTTTAGGCTTAATATTTTGCCATAAAAATCTGTTTTTACATTTATACCGTAGTTAATTTTCGGCCAAAGTTGTTTCGGATTAGTATATACTTTTAAATTGTTTCGAAACATTTTTTAAAAATGGTATCGTTTGACAGAATAAAAAACGGTTTTAATACTATCATATATCTTTCCATTTATTTAAATTATAAAAATAAAAAAAAGCTATATTTATTAATCTTATAAGAATCTTAAAAGGTATTTATAAAAAGTAAACTTCAAGAGATTTTCGTGACTTTATGTTTTGTTTTTTTAAATGAAATATTTGTTAATATCCTTACAACATTTTTTACTACAATCTTAATTATTAATGTAATAATAAAGGCAATAATCAAATTATTTTTGTGTAAGATCTTAAAGTTATTTTTTTATTTTTATTGCTGTATAGGCATTTCAAATGTTTGTTTTATTTAATAATCTTTATTAAATTTAATTTATTAAATTTTTTTATTATTTTATAAAATTTATTATTATTATTTATAAATAAATCAAACATTAAAAATGTCACACAGTATATATATTTTTTTTTCATTACTTATAATAGTTTAGATTATATAGCTATTATAAGATATATTGTTAAAGGTATCAATAATATATACGTAGCTTTGAAGTTGTTATAAGATGATATTTTACATTTTAAATACGCCACTTTTGTTTGATTTTTTCTGTGTTTGATTATGAAACCCCATATACTAACATTAAAACAGTGTACAAAAAGTGATGTTATCAGAAATTATATTCTACTTATGTAGAGCTTTCTAATATTCCATCTTTCCAAGGCAGAGGGACATTATTCTTGGTTTAATTATTTTTAATTTAATTTCTCTAGATATTTTTCATATTTAGTTTGCGTACAACAGTTAACAACTTTAAGCTTATACATTAACTTTATTTATAACTTAATTATTAATGATTTGATTTATAGATTTTTAAAGCAATACAAGATTAAACTTAGCATAAGGCAAAATTTTTGCTCTGGAGACAAAAAAGGAAGACAGCGAAAATGACCAGTCAAAATAACGATTGAAGAGACAAAAAATTTGTATATCTCGGTGTAGATGATTTATCCTCATTTTCTTTTAATAAAACAAAAAATATTATTAAACTTTGGGATTTACCTGTAACTCCAATATCTTTACAGAAGTTTAATGTTTGCTCTGAGAAGTTGAATGAACAAAATTGTTAGATGGTAAGTGTCTAATGATTAAAAATCATTATTCACAGCTTTAATTTTTACAATTTTAAAAACTTTTTCATATATTACGGTCAAAGAGTCAGAGTGTTAATTAACATTTTAGTATGTAATAATCAAAATATCAAAGCTTACACCACATGCTTGGTCAGAAAGCGGGAGCAATTGTTCTCGAATACTGACCACAGAAAATATATTTAGTTGCAAAAAACTGGCCAGGTTTTTTTAGTTGTTTTGAGAACATTTAAGTTTATGAATGTAACAAAAATTTTTTGTTGGATTTCAAAGTTGGTGTCACCAATTGAAAACCATTTGAAATCAAATGTCGAAAAAAACAACAGTATTTGTATTTATATCAGTATTCATATCTGTTTAAAGTTTTAATAGTTGCTGGTGATTCATTATTATTCATTATATAAACGTTTATTTAAATTCACCTAATAGACGAAGGTAATACAATATTTTTATAGATGATATTATTTTTTAAAATAGTGTTATTAAAATTCAGAACTAAAATATGTAAAAAAAATTAATTACAAACATTGGATAAGGTCCGTAATGTACCTTGAAAATCTGGAAAATTTGTTAATATTGGCTAAAGTCATGGAAAACCTGGAAAAGTCATGAATTTATTTTTTTCTTTAGATAGTCATGGAAAAATCAGTAATTCTAGTTAAGAAGTTACTCGTTTCACAAATAAACGCTGTATTTAGAAAACATTTTTTTAAAAGTGAGGTTATTTGAAAAGAATATTTTTTTGAAAATATTCTTTTCAAATAACCTCATATATAATAAAAGAATATTAAGATAAAATAAAGATTTTTTAGATAAAATAAAAATTATTTTAGATAAAGTAAAGATTTTTTTAGAGAAAAGAAACAATCTTTAGATAAAATAAAAATAAAATTTTTTACAGGAGAAATATTTTTCACTCCCTTGTAAAATTTAAATTTTGTGACTTGTCACATTTTTAAAATACAACGCTTAATTAAGCTATAATGTTTTTTTTTGGTGCTACTAATTTATTTTTTCTGAAATTTATGTTTTTCTTAGTATTCATTCTTAGTCGTCATTGAAGTACAACTTGGTAAACTACAAAACACATCAAATTCAGTTATAAAAATTTGAGTAACAAAGGTATACTAATTATTGTATTGCCTGAAAGAGTGTCATTGCTATTAAAAGCAGTGAAGAATTCAAGTAGTCTGGAAAAAAAGAAATGTTTTTTTATAATTTTTTAATGCATTTTGTATGATATTTTTAAATAAAATACTCTTTGAAGATTTTTTGTAAATTACATTTTATATTCATTTAAGTCTAAACAAAAGTTACTTTAATTATTGCCAGGTTGTGTGTTTTTGCAGGTCAATTATTTGGCACAAATCGGAGTTAAAGACAAAGGAGATTATATATTTTATTTGCTAAGAATAGTTTTTTAAAATGGCCTAGTTGTAAAATTAAACTATGCAGGGAGAGGACAAAAAATTGGAATAGAAAAAATATTGATTGCATATGCTGCTATTGGTAAGTGGTTTAGAAAATTTTGTTTTTTCAGTTTCAATTTTGCATTACAAACTTTTAATTTGATATGTTTCTTTGATGCATAATTAAACAAACAACTATTTTTTTTGCAGAATCTGTGAAGTCAAATAAGCATGGCTTATGCAGACATGTGATAGAGATAGAGGAAGAAAAAATAATAGACGTGGGCACCAAATATCAAAAGCTAAACAATATTCAATAACAAGTAGCTCAGCCAATATCGAAACTACTCTATAAATTTTATAGTTAATTTTTTTATTTAAAACTCAATGTGTCAGTTTTTGGTTTAAGTTTGGTGTTTGCAATATGTATATTTAACCGATAAATTATGTTAAATAAATAAATTTTTATACTTGTATCATACATTCTTTCTTTTCTCTATAAATTTTCAATGTAGCGATGCAAATCATCTTATTTGTAACAACGATCTAATGTTGCATAAAACGTTAGGCCGATATATAACATACAATATTTGGCCAATGTTGTATACAACGTTGGGCCAATGTTACATACAACATTGGGCCAATGTTGTATACAACGTTGGGCCAATGTTGTATACAACATTGGCCTAACGTTATATACAACGTTGGGCCAATGTTGGGTAAACGTTGTATACAACATTGGGCCAATGTTGTAAACAACATTGGGCCAATACCTAACCAATGATCAAACCTGCATTGGGCCAACATCGACTTTCAACATAGGGCCAATGCATCATCATGCATTGGCCCAACGTTGGTCCAATGTAAGCTTGCTGTCTGGGATATATATATATATATATATATATATATATATATATATATATATATATATATATATTTATATATATATATATATATTTATATATATATATATATATATATATATATATATATATATATATATATATATATATATATATACATATATATGTATATGTATATATATATATATATATATATATATATATATATATATATATATATATATATATATATATATATATATATATATATATATATATATATATATATATATATATATATATATATATATATATATATGTATATATATATATATATATATATATATATATATATATATATATATATATATATATATATATATATATATATATATATATATATATACATATATATATATATATATATATATATATATATATATATATATATATATATATATATATATATATATATATATATATATATGTATATATATATATATATACATATATATAATATATATATATAACCATATATATATATATAAACATATATATATATATATATATAACCCAGACAGCATACATAAATTGGGCCAACATTGGACCAATGCATGATGATGCATTGGCCCAACGTTGAAAGTTGATGTTGGCCCAATGAAGGTTTGATCATTGGACCAATGCATGATGATGCATTGGCCCAACGTTGAAAGTTGATGTTGGCCCAATGAAGGTTTGATCATTGGTTTTATTGGCCCAACGTTGTGTACATTGTCGACCCAATGTTGTATATAACGTTTACTTAACATTGGCTCAACGTTGTATATAACGTTAGGCCAATATTGTAAACAACATTAACCCAACGTTGCATACAACATTGGCCCAATGTTGTATACAAAATTGGCATTACGTTGTATACAACATTGGCCCAATATCGTATGTTATACAATTAATTTTTTCATATCAGCCTAACGTTTTTTGCAAAATTAGTTCATTGTTATCAATAAGAAGATTTGCATCGCTACATTGAAAAATTTTACAGAAAAAAAAGAATGTATGATACAATTATAAAAATTTATTTATTTAACATAATATCTCGGTTAAATATATATATTACAAACACCAAACTTAAACCAAAAACTGACACATTGAATTTCTGCAAAAAAAATTCACTATAAAGTTTATCGAGTAGTTTTAATATTGGCTGAGCTACTTGATTTTGAATCGTGTTTAGCTTATGATATTTGATGCCCACGATTATTATTTTTTATTCCAACATCTTTATCATATGTCTACAAAAGCCATGCTTATTTGATATCACAGTTTCTGCAAAAAAAATTGTTGTTTGTTTAATTATGCACCAAAGAAACATAACAAATTGAAAGTAATTCTGTAATGCAAAATTAAAACTGAAAAAATAATCCTTTCTAAACCACTTACCAATAGCAACATATGCAATCAACATTTTTCCTTTTCCAATTATTTGTCCTCTCCCAGCATTATTTAATTTTACAGCCAGGCCATTTCAAAAAACTATTCTTAGTAAATAACATATACAATCTCCTTCGTCTTTAACTCCAATTTGTGACAAATAATTGACCTGCAAAAATACACAACCTGGCATTAAGTAACTTTTGTTTAGACTTAAATTAACAGAAAATGTAAATTACAAAAAATCTTTAAAGAGTATTTCATTTAAAGTATATAAATTGTACTAAGATATCATACTAAATGCATAAACAGATCAGAAAAAAACATTTACTATTTACTTAAGTGTTTTTTTGTCTTTTTTCTTCCAGAGTACTTGAATTATTCACTGCTTTTAATGATAATGATACTCTTTCAGGCAATACAATAATTAGCATACCTTAGTTACTCAAATTTTTATACCTGAATTTAATGTATTTTGTAGTTCACCAAGTTGCACCTCAATGCTACCACATTGTGCCAATAATACCAGCATATCTTTTAAGGATACAACTTTTTCTTGAAATTATAAAGTTAATTATATTATTAAGAAATAATACAATTAATTACATATTATATTTAGAATTTATAGATATTATTTATTGATTAGAGATAAATTTATAGATTAGAGACAAAAATAAAGACATAGGGGCAAGTTTTTAATAAAAAAAATATATACTTGCTAATGGATTCATAATATTTTTTATGAATTATGAAATTTGCAGTTGTGTATTCAATTTCTGGCACTGAAAGAAAACAATTCTTGTTAATGTTTATGATACAAATTGCACTGTAAAACAAAAAAATTCATAATAAAACAATGTTTCTCAATTATAAAATTCAATGACTTTTTTGAAAAATTAGATGATTTTCCCTGACCATTTTAACAATGGTTTTTACAAAATTTTAAAAATTACTATCTGCTGTAATGGAAATACTAAGAATATACATGCTTTAAATGACAAAACTTATAAAACTTAGCTTCTAGTTAAGTTGGATATTATTATGGATCTTATTATACATGTTAGTATGGTTTTTATTATTAAGGATGATTAAGAATAAACACTGATAAAAACATTAGTTTTAGAAAAAATAAATGGGTAGCACAAAAAAACATAATAGCTTAGTTGAGCGCTGTATTTTGAAAAGGTGACAAGTCACAAAATTAATATTTTTTAGGAGAATAAAAAACATTTCTCCTAAAAAAAATTTTGTTTTCATTTTATCTAAAATATTGTTTATTTTATTAAAAGAAAAATCTTTATTTTATCTAAAAAAATTTTATTTTATCTTATTATTTAATCTTTTCCTAAAAAACATATTCTTTTCAAAAAACCTCACTTTTAAAAAAAGTGTGGTCTTCACATTTTTAAAATACAACGTTCAATTGTAAAGTGAGTAATTTCTTAACTAGAATTATTGACTTTCCATGACTATCTACAAAATAAAAAAATTTCCTGACTTTTCCAGGTTTTCCACCACTTCGGTCAATATTAATATAATTTCCAGATTGACGAGGTACAGTACAGACCTTGTCCAATGTTTGTAAATAATTATTTTTTACATATTTTAGTTCTGTATTTTAATAATACAGTTTTTAAAAATAATATCATCTATAAAAATGTTGTATTACCTTCGTCTATTAGATAAATTTAAATAAAAGTTTATATCATGAATAATAATGAACTGTTAAAACTGTTAAAACTTTAAACTGATATGAATACTCCGTTGTTTTTTTCAACAGTTAATTTCAAATGGATTTCAAAGTTGGTGACTTTGAAATCCAACAAAAAATTTATGTTACGTTCAAAAACATAAATGTTCTAAAAACGATTAAAAAGCCTGGCCAGTTTTTCGCAACTAAATATAAGTTCAGAGCGATCAGTATTCAAGAGCGATCGCTCCCGCTTCCCGACCAAACCAGTGGTGTAAGCTTTGATATTTTGATTATTACATACTAAAATGTTAATTATCACTCTTACTTTTTGACCGTAATATATAAAAATTTTTAATTATTACACAATAAAATAGTGATTAATACTCTGATTTTTTTACCGTAATATATGAAAAAGTCTAACCTGACAGTTGAAAATTGTAAAGGTTAAAGCTATGATTAAAGATTTTCAATCATCAGATATAAAGAATTTTATATAAAAACTTACCATTTAATAAATTTTGTTCATTTAACTTCTCAGAGCAAACATTGAACTTCTGTAAAGAGTTTGGAGTTACAGGTAAATCCCAAAGTTTAATAACATTTTTTGTTTTATTATAAGAAATAAATCACCTACACCAAAATAAATCATCTACACCAAGATATACACAATTTTTGTGTCTTTAATCTTTAACTTGGCTTATTATTTTCGCTGTCTTCCTTTTTTGTCTCCAGAGCAGAAGTTTAGCCTTCTGCTAAATTCAATCTTGTATTGCTATAAAAATCTATAAATCAAATTATTAATGATTAAGTTATAACGCAAGTTAATGTATAAGCCTAAAGTTGTTAACTGCAGTACGCAAACTAATTAGGAAAATTATCCGGAGATATTAAATTAAAAATTATAAAATCAAGAATAATGTCCCTCTGCCTCAGAAAGATGGAATATATAAAGGGTTGCTTCGATTTAAATAATGATTAAATGATGATGATGAAAAAATGATGAAATCATAAAATAATGATTTAAATTGAGTCTTTTTAATAAATTGATTTTTAAATTGAGTCTTTCTAATAAAAATAATGATTTAAATTGAGTCTTTTTATTTTAATTGATTTTAATCATTATTCATTGATTTAATCTCATAATTCAATAAATTATTATAGACTAGTCATTGGTTTTAAAACAAAATGTCTGAAAAGGTCTACATAAGTAGATTATAAATTCTAGTAACACCACTTTTTGTACACTGTTTTAAAATTTTAGTAGATGGTGTTTCACAATCAAACAAAGAAAAAATTAAACAAAAAAGACATACTTAAAATGCAAAATATCAGCTTCTAACAACTTCAATGCCTTATACATATTCTTGATACCTTTAATAATATATCTTATAATAGCTATATAATCTAAACTATTATA